AGTCAAGACACGCTACTCCTCATATCAGATACTCTAGACGTCTCAGGTATGAGGATCCATAAACGAAACGCTGTGTGAGATTCAAGTCATGACTCTGTCCATGTGACAATCTCATGCGGGTCATCCAGTCACTCGTTCACAACGAGTACCCATGATTGTGATCTACATCCAATGCGTTGATCACACCTCATGCTAGTCTTGATTCAACATTGTTCCCACAATGATGACTGACTAGGGAGTTTAGAATCATTCTCTAATGATTCAAGGATGCCGAAATACAACAAACATGCTAATCGTATAACGGATAAATAATGCATTCATAAATCAATGAATCAATACAAAGTAAAATATCATATCATGGGTCATCCTAGAGCATTACAACCAACAATTTGCTCAACCAGGGAATCCGACAGACGTCAAGACATGCGTCGGCGACATCATCACCATGATTGCTCGTCGCGTGGGCATTGATGTCGGACTCTATTCAGACGATGTGATCCCGGGCCACACTCTCCTGGATATTGCTGCGTTGGTCCAGAAATTTCATCTCTCCGAGCGACCGGTATGCTGGCACTTGAACTATCTGGACCATCAAGGTGACCGCCAGCGAGTACGTCTCCCTTGTCCCCATCTACCGCCGATCACTCAGGCTGGTCTCCTCTTTCGAGCCCCCTTTGACGATGTCCCCGCTGACGATGCTGCCATGCCAGATGCTGACCAGCCCTCCTTTTCTCGGGCTCCTCAGTCCTACCCTCTTCCTTCAGAGGACTTCTCCTTCGACATGCCTCCCTCTCCACCACCGGATCCGAGCTCTCACTCATTTCCTGACTACTCTGCCCAGATTGACATGCTCAGCCAGAGGATGCAGAGTATGGAGGCGACTATGCACGGGTTCGGCGCTCAGCTCCAGTCTTTTGGAGATATGATACAGACGGAGTTCGACGCTCAGAAGCAGTTCCACAAGCAGCAGCATCAGATGGCGCAGTACGCCACGGAGTTTCGTCGCCGCTATGACGCGAGGTATGCAGCCGACAACGACACCCCCTGATCCCCCTTCCACCTGGATATCCGTACTCGCCATACTATTGTCAGCTAGGACCACCACCACCACCTCCAGAGCAGTGAGCGTTTGCTAGTCTTTTTTTTCCCCTTTTGCTTTTGCATTTTCAGTCTGTTTTATTTGGGATTATCAGTTGTACTTTTCACACTTGACGATGTATCACTCGTGCATGTTCTATTTGTTGCGGTTCTTTGGTTTGTGCTATTGTTTTATGTGTTTACAAGGTCGCATCACATTCCACGCGTACGCTGAGAACTGTGAGATTTCGTCTGAGCTTTTTCTTCGATCCTTGAGTATCTGAGGGAGCGCGCCATTCATTCACGCTAAGTATTCTTTTACCCCGTTCCCTTTTTGGTTTCTCTCGTTGGTTTTCCCTTCTCCCAGTGCGACTTGACACCACGGATGGTGTCTTGTTCAAGTCTGGGGGAGGATAGTCTCACAGCTTGTTTAGATGATCAGTTAGAAGATTCATGGGCAATAGAGTAGAAATCTGTCGAGAGTATAGATGAACCTGACTTAGTTATCTAAGCACTTGAATGAATTGTCGGACTTATCCGAAAAGGTAGCTTGACCTGAGGAATGTTCTATAGACTATGAGATGAATCGTTACCTAGGATGAAAGAGGAAATGAAAGTTTTCCAACCCAAGCGTATATGTTTCCCTAAAAATCGTTCTCCA